TGCATACCTGAGGGACTGCCTTTCCCCATATGTTCCCCAGAGAGCACTGCAATCAGGGACCCAGAATCGGCTGGTCAAGGAGGCCAGACTTGCTTCAATGAGAGCTAGGGCTTTTTCAATGGCGGTTCCACTCTGGTGGAATGAGCTCCCGGAGGAGATCAGGGCCCTGTGGGACCTGTTACATTTCCGCAGGGCCTGTAAAACGGAGCTCTTCCACCAGACCTTTGGAGCTACCACCACTGACATATGATAGTCCTCGGGGTGCAAGTCCGACTTTCTGGGCCCCTAAGCATAACCTGACCCGAGTGCCTGGGACATCTGTAGCAGACCTGAGTGCCTGGGACATTTGTAGCAGATCAAGAAACTGACCGAGCTTTGAGAACTAATGCTAGCACTTTATTATGTTGTATGGTTTTTAATTCATGTTGGGGTTTTATCAGTTTTTGTATTTAATGAATTGTTTTATATTGTTGTAAGCCGCCCTGAGCCAGCTTTGCTGGGAGGGCAGGGTAAAAATCTAATGAAATAAATAAATAAATAAATAAATAAATAAATAAATAAAAAGGGGTGTGAGGTGTTGGGATCACTGAGCTCTAAAACGGAGCTCAGCCAGCAACCCCTTACTGCCTTGCAGGCAAGGCCAAAACTGGGAGCTTGGGAGAGAAGCTCCTCCCCCATGTGATGCCTCCAGGGAGGAGCTATGTCCCATACGTGGAGACTGCCTAACCCTGAATCACCAGAGAAATGCTCAAGAATAACATAGATCAGCACTGGTTCACAGCTTTTTAGCCTCCAGCTCATACATTTTTGTCTTGGTTCAGGAAGGTTGGCTCCAGAGTAAACTAATTTATGCAGTAGCCAAATCGCTCACTCACAACTTTAATGCCAGTAGCTCACAAAGTAGAATTTTTGCTTACAAGACTCCACAGCGTAGAGGGAGCATTGCCTGGTATATCCCCATCCTGCATCTTTCAGTCCTCTTATGTCCTCTAACACTTTAGTGAAAGCACAAACATTGTTCTGGGGACAGGAAATGGTCCACCTATCATCCTAGTGTCAACATGCAGAAGCCAGCCATAGGGATGATACTGGTCAAACAATCTCTCTGCTTGAATAGGCATTCATAGGGGGACAGGATAGATCAAAATCTACTTTGTTGAGAATATTACAGCATAGCATGCACCATGGAAGACAGCAGTATACAGAAGTCCTGATGCTACTCCAGTATATAAACAGCAAAAAGCAGGACATACTTAAGGGAAGCAAGGAAGAACATGATCAAAGGAAGAACCACGGGAAGGAGCAACTGGGCTCAAAGCAGCTGTATGAGGCATGGAGAGATGAAGAGTACTGAAGTGTAGTGGGTTAGACGCATGAAGAAAGCATGGAGACTGATGCAGTGATCAGTTTAGCTTAACTGGTACACAACAAAGACCCCGAACAACGGCCGGCTGGCCAACTATATACACTTCCCGGGGACACACCCCTGGGCCCCATTGGCGGGTTTAAATCTCCCGCCACGGTCCCATTGGTTCCCCAGTGGAGGGACCAGGATCCCAGTCCCCATTGTTGTCCAGGACTCAAGCTCAGGAGTGCGCGCTGGCCCCCGGTGGTGGTCAGCGGACACAACAAGTACCTTATTGGTAATCAGGGGCCCAAGCTCACTGACAAACAAGGAAAGTGTCCTGCAGACCCTGTAGTGAGTTGCTAGCAGGCATTTCTGCTGGAATACCAATGAAGAAGCCCTGATCAGGCTCCACAGGCCATTGGACCAGACAAGGCAGACAAAAAATAAAACGTGGAACACCAGGATTTAGAGGATTTCAGACATTTTAGCTTGCCAAAGCATTTAAAATGATCACGGAAAAAAATCAAATTTATTCAGGAAGGACCAGCTTTCAGAAGTCAACATTGGCCCCTGCCACACGGCAGGGAAAAAAGCGCCCAAAGCGCGGCTTTTAAAAGCCGCACTGAATTAGAGACGCCGCGGCGGGATCCCACGGATCCCCTGAGCTGTGGCGCCGTTGCTCCCCGGCACGATCAGATGCCGGGGAGAAAACGACGGTGGGAAGGGGAGGCTGGCGAACTGCGCATGCTCACACATGCGCAGTTCGGCCAGGAGCCGGGGATGCACCGGCGCAAGGACGCGCCGGTGATCCCACGGCCGGGCTTGAGGTGCTCTTCTCCGAAGAACCACCTAGGTAGGTGGTTCTTTTTTGGTGCGGGGTTTTGGGTGGGAGGGACGGATCGGGGACGGACAGGCAACGATTCCCAGATGTTGCCATGGGATCCCACCCGTTTGCTCTGCCCCCGAACCGTCCCTCTCCTGGCCCAAATCCACTCGTGTGACCAGCGCCATATTTCAGCAATAAATGGAACTGGAGTAATTACCATGTTTTGAAATAGGGCTTCCTAATAATTTTCAACAAAAAGCAACACAATTGAGTCTGACAGAGCTTTATAAAAGATTGGTGGTGGCAGTGGCTAGGGAATTTACTGTTTTGCTTACATGAGTAATGTACAAGCAAGGCTTGGATGCCTGCAAAGAAAAAAAATGTACAAATGCTTTACTTTTTAACCCAGCTGTATGGTGGAAGCCTACCAACTGTGTGTACCAAGAATGTGGTTTACACATGATCTTCCCAATCACTGAGTCAAGCATGTGAGCAGTGCACATTCCCAGTATACACAGTTAGATACCACCACATATAATGTCTGAAAAAGTCTTCTGAGCAGAGGAATTATGGCTGAAACAGAACCCAAACTAGGAGTTCTAACCACTTCCTTCAAAACATCTTCCACTAGATTTTTCTCCTTAAATACTCACAGCCTTATTCACACAACAGTAGGCTGTACATTGTTAGTCAGGTAATGTAGTGGTAATCACTTTCTTATGTTATAATTGCTTAGCAGCTCCCCACTGTCTACTGAAGAGTTCAATAAAGCAATTTTAGTATTGCTAATAATTTTAATCATAGGTTATGTTTAACTCTAATTGTTTCACATTAGGTTGATTTTGTTTTGCAGGGAAATAGTGTGTGTAGCTCCTTTCACTTAATTTGCTGAAATGCTAAGATATACTTTAAAAGATATTTTCAGCACAGGTAGATTGAAAGGGTTTTATACAAATCATGTAAGGTAAAATGAGATAGAAATTCAAATATATCCCTGTCATGCTGAAACATCAAAAAGCCTCTTAAAAGAATTCTATTATTTATCTTTCTTTACATTATCAAGTAGAGGTCTGTCTGTGGACCATGAGGGCACTATACTTGGATGAGGAGAGAGACCAGGGTAAGAGAAACTGCTTCACAGAAAAACGGTCAGAGGGTCATATTGCTACCCATGAGGTAGACAAGGGTAATGCATGCATGCTTCAAATATTCCCCACCCTCTGCTTAGTACAGGTTACTAAGTTCAACCAAATGAAGGATAAGGCTGGATCAGGATATGGGAGGCATGAACTAAATTCTCATTCCTATGGTCCAGCATATGTGCACATATGCAGGGCCAGCAGTGTGTGTGCGTGTGTGTGGGATGGAGCACAGGGCACTTACATATCTTGTTTTCAGGTGCATACCTAAGCTATTTTAAGGACATACAGGCTAAAATATGAAATACTGATGCTACAAGTTCATGTTTGTAAACAAGCATGCAATACAGGCACACAAAGGCTTCTGGAGATGCTGGCCGGGCACAGGGGACACTGTGAATTGGTGGTTCTGTTCTTACTTGGCTGACCAATTCCAGAAGGAGGTGCTGGGGAACTGCTGTTCAGTCCCATGTTATTTAGGCCATGGGGTCCCACAGGTATCTATCTTGTCCTCCATGCTTTTTTACTGACAGTTTGATTTGTGTTATTGACCTAGACTGTTTATTGATGGATTTGCTTGCACTGATTTTTTGTTTGTTTACTTTGTTTTATTGTTGCAAGCCACCTTGAGAAAGTCTAGCGAGGTGGCATACATACCTTCTAAATAAAACTTTACAGCCATTTAACATGGGAAATGGTCCTTACACTTGATGTGAAATGGCACTTTGGGATTACAGGTACAAAAGAGACAAGAACCAAAGCAGAGAGTGTATACTTAGGTTATTTACAGGATGTGAATGTAATTGGAAAATTAATTGTTCACTGTTTGAAGTGTTAGAATTTTAAAAATTGAAAAAAAAATTAAAAAAAAAAAAGGTTGGACTAAAACTTACACAACATATTCTTGGGTAATAGAAGAGACAGCTTTCTAGTTGTTTACCCCCACTTTTCCTATGTGGGATTATTCTTGTTACACAAGAAGAAGCAAACTAGAGTCAAGCTAAAGACTCACTGGCTGAGAAATTAGTAAGCATTGACTCATGAGCTTCCTTTAATTTTTTTGTCTGTATTTTACATCCTCGTGATTGCAATCCCCCCTGCACAAATACTCTACACTTTTTTTGAAAGTGAAAAAACTCAAAATTTCAGTCAACAATGGTAAGTAATTTATCTAGGATTTAAGCCAATAAAGCTAACCTTGACTCAGCTGAATGCAAGTGCAATACGTCTATTTCCCTTTCTCCCCCTGTGGTTTTGATTCTGTTCTTTGGCTTTCTCCCCCCCCCCCCAATGGCCCATAAAAGGGGAGAGAATTACAAGATAGATGACATAATGCTTGACATCTGGCAAGCTGGATTTGTACCTTAAAATGCCTGTACAGGTGTTAGCAAATCCTACCACAGAGGGTTCCATATTTATTAAAGCCTTCTGTTTTTATTCAGCCCTCCCTAGAGGAGCAGATAAACCATGGTTCAAAGTCAGTTTGAGTCTATTCTCTTCTCTATTGAGTGGCACAGCAGTAGTCTTCAAGTGTATAATTTTCAAATTTGAAGCAAATCGATTGAAATGCTTTATCCCAACCTCACACACAGTTATTAAATGAGTCTGGGAGAAAAGACCACTTTGCAACAACTATTTCTGATGTTTTTCTCCCCCCCACTCCTTTTATCCCAGCCTTTTTACTCACCAAGCAAGAATAGGAATCATTCAATCGGTGATCCAGGGTTTGCCTCTGAAGTACTCTAAAGAGTGTGGCATGGTCAAACTTGCAAGGATTAGCAGAAATAAACTCATCCATGCCATGCTTCTGAGCACGATCGGCAGCTGGATTGTGAGGAAGGAGAAAGAGGGTATGTATTGAGATGATATGATCCCACTTTGATTTCAGGTTTACTTGGAAAAAGCTTTATTCAGGTTTTTCTCTCCCCATGCCTCCTGTCCCCTTACTGTCACCCCTTCTTCCCCTCCCCAAGATGAACACCTGTAACTAATATCATCTAGGCAAACAGTTTAATTTAAATATAACCACAAACAAATGGATAAACAACGGAAAGGCAGGGAAATCTTTTCCAGGGATTGGCCAAATCATACTCTGAAGTATTCATTTTGACCAAATCAACCAATACTTATTGGAGTGTGTGTGCAGCGTTCATTTTAACAGTGTGCTGTGCCTCTGGGAAACTTAAGAGATCATAAAACATACTGGCAAAACACAGAATTTATTCCTGGAACAATTGTCTTCATAAAATACCCAGATGGGTGCCATATTACTGAATCTTGTATGCATATAACACACATACATGTCTGTACTGATGGGCACTATCAAGCTGTCCATCACAGACCACAGTACTGAAGAAACATTGTATCTGGAAGCCATTTCTCAAATGGCAAACTGGAGCAGAAATGAACACACTAGCTTGGCGCAGGGTCATTTCCAGCCTCCTGCGTTTTTTTTTATACACAGCTTTTAATGAAACTAACCTTAATGTAGTAATGGCAAAAAACTCCTCTAACCGAAACCGGGAGCGGTAAAAATTCTTTTGTGTGTGTGTGTAAATTATATATAACATAACATCTCAAATGGCACTTCAATCAGAGACCCGGATTTATTGTTTGCAGATTGCATCTTTCAACGCCTTTGAACCCCGCGGGTTTATCAAAAGACAAGCTCTAGCAATTGCTTTAGTTAATGGGTATGTTTTGTCAAAGTCCTCAATGTGAGTTTGTCTACCATGTACGGACCAAAAAAGCCTTCCAGTGGCCAAAAGGACTAGTTCTGCATTAGCACATTAGCTCACTCTATGCAACATTGGGGGAGAGCAGTTTGTGATCAACTCCAAATTGACTTAACCCTTACAATGAAGTCTCTGCTTCTTTGTTCCTTTAATTTCAAATATAGGTCTTTTTATGTTCATTACTAGAAAAGATGCATCCTTAACATACTTTTGGAAAAGAACCCTGCATAGTACAAATCTAAAATTTCTATAGAAAAGGAGACAAAAGTTTATTGATTAAACCCAATTATAGAGTCCAGTTCATAATAAAACTCTATATTGATCTGTAGGCATGATGCTAACATAATCAGTCACATTTAGAAATTTAGCCCCAGATCATATTGATCCATGTCAAGTTCAACTTTCAGCTGTATTTGCAGATGGAAGAATTATTTAATTCAAGCTGAAGGATCTGTAGCATCCCATGTTGAAAAGATGCACAAACTAATTCATATCACTTGGCTCTGCATTGTCAAAGCAAGAGTCACATTCATGTGACAGATTTCACCAAGGTGGATATAGCAAATAAACGGTGTGACAGTACATTGACAATTTAAGGTATGAGTTGATCACCCACAGAAACAGCAGTATATTTTGCTAGAGTTTGTGAAGCAACACCATGTATGATTAAACACCCTTTAGGCTATAATCCTGTGCACGGTTAAATCCCACTGAGTCAGTACGACATATGTGCAACTCAGTGATAGCAAAGGAGCACCCAAAGAGATCATCCTTTACTCCACAGCTACATTTTAAAAAGAGCTGATCTTATACATGATAGCATAGTACAAGTGGTGCTAAATACTAAGAAAAAAAAGAAACCAATGGCAATTAGACTTAGGCATTTTAATTCCACTATTTTTATTAAACAGTTTACCACTAATTTAACATTTCTGAAACCTTCCCCGTTTCCAACAATTCCATCACAATTTATCAGCTATTTTCTTGCTGAATAAAATAAATGCAATATTACAAGGAAAAAAAGAGAACAGCCCTCCTTTGTGCTTTGTCTCATGCATGTGAATACAGGAAAGAATTTGTAACCTTGATCTTTCTTTATGTTGTTATTGCGCTCTCTCTTTTATTAAAAGGAAAAAATGCACATTTGTTTATGTGCAGTTATTAATGCTTTTGAAGATCTATATATATATTTATTGTCTGCTGCTAGGCATTTAAGGCCTTGACTACTTGTTTATAAGCATATCAACACAAATTGATTCTCTATCAGTCTGCTGGCCCTATGAGAGCAAACTTGGGAGGTCAGCCAGATAAAATAAAACAAAGAACACACACAATCCAGAGGTGCACCAAGAGAAGAGAAAGCACCTTGTGTAGTTAGGATATGCCCATAATACTATCCCATAAAAACTACGCACATTTCAGCTGTCTATTCTCAGAGCTTGATCAATAGAATAAACCACTGATTATGTCTCCCATCCACCACATCTTATCAGGGCTCAAAATCTGGAGGGTGGATGGGACTGGCCCTAATAGCTTATAGTCTTCTTTTACTCACTTCTTCATGGGTACAGCTGTGGTGATCAATCACACAATTGACCTACCCTAACTGGAGGTGGTAGAGTAAATTATGTGATGCCGTCTGCAGAGAATGGAAGATTTCTATTCACTTACTGTGAAGCTTTCTTCTCGGTGGTCCGGGAGTGGGGCAGTCCTTACTCTTGGGAATAGGCTCCTCCCTCTGGAATAGGGTCGGTTTCCTCAGATCAATCCAGGAAGGGGAGGGGCCTGTCCCCTGGGAACATCCTAGTCATCTCCAAGCCGTGCATCCCCTAACATCACACTAAGGAAAGGAAAAAAACACTTCTCCCCACCATAGTAGAACTCAATTTTCGGGGCAACCAGCCTTGTAACTTTATGCCCCTCCAGCGGGTGTAGACCAAGGTTGAAACCTTCTGTCGCTCTCTCACCCAATTAACTCACAATTTTTTGTTTTAGTGTCTCAGAGAAACTTCATAAATGTTCCTCCAAAATAACCTCCAGAAGCTCCCCCCCAAAACTGGGTGGGTAGGACTGCCCCACTCCCGGACCACCGAGAAGGAAGCTTCACAGTAAGTGAATACAAATCTTCCATTCTCCGGTGGTCCTGGGAGTGGGGCAGTCCTTACTCTTGGGACATAAAATAGCAGTGAGCCCCAGGGTGGGAAATCCATCTTCTGGTTATAGAGTGTGCTGCAGCACACCCCAAAGGAAGGCCGCCACAGCCAAGGTCAGCTTCTCTACTCTATAGCACTCTACTCTATAGAGTGCACAGACTTCCAGGTGGCCACCGTACCTACCGTCTCCAAGGATGGGAAATGATCTGCAAGCTGCTGATGTAGCAGCCCCCCACAGAGAATATGCTGCAACATCTTTGGGTGGATTTAGCCCCTGAGCCTTGCATGCAACAATGATGCCACCCCTAAAACCACTTACTCAAGGTAAAAGGCAATACCAGTTGACCTAAGGAAAATATCCTAATGGAAACAAAGAGGGTATCTGAATCATGCCACTACTTGGCCTGTCAATGTAAAAACTGAATACCCTACGGACATTGAGGCAATGCCATTCCCTTTCCTTGTCATGCCTATAATTGAGACAAAGGAAGGTAAGACAATGATCTCTGACTTGCGAAGGAACTGGATTAACCTTGGGATCGAAGGCTTGATCCGAACGTAGCATCACCCTATCATTGTGGAAGACATGAAGTTCCCTGTCAACTGACAGGGTCCTCAGTTCAGACCCTTGCCTAATTGATATTATGTCTGCTAAAAACAAGGTCTTGAATGTTAATTCCTTGAGACTCCATAGGTTCAAAGGTTTTCTACACAATGCTCTCAGGACCCTATGTAGATTCCAAG